TCAATATAATACTGAATGTGATATTAACTTGTATATAGTAATTAAAAAAGATCGATGGGTTTTATTTACAATATTAATAAAATTCGATAATTATATGGCAGTTTGTTTAAAATTTCTTTGAAAAGAAATTTATTTGTCGACTAAAAATTTTTAAAGATTTCTAAAAAATTAGCCAGCTAAAACTCTGTTGTACGATATATTAATAGCTCTTAATTTGCTTCTTGTTTTTCAATTCACAAATACTTTTTTAATTTCGTTCTTTTTTTCAACAATTCACTAATAATTTTTGATAAAGCTGATGAAGTAAAGCGATAAGTGACACATGACTAACTGATCATGCATTAAACGGCACATCAAGAGCATTGTTTAAACTTCGATAAGACAGACAGATGTCGTATCAATAAATATAAGGTTAAAGGTCATAGCAACTGTTTGCTATTGACATATGATATGTGTACTTGATAGCTTTTTCTAGGCATAAAGTTTAGTAGAAATCACACTAAAAAACACTGCAGCAGCGGAGATTGTCAAGCTTAAATCTGTGGATAAAGGTTATCATAATTGTCAGTGACTGGGAAATGATATATATGTATTGAATAGCTTTCCTTTAGACACAAACTTCCGCCTTCTGAGAAATTGTCGAAATATCACAGTAATCGATCTCTAATCTTTGACCTGTGATTATTAATATAAAATTTGGTCTTTTCCAGAAATGCATGAACATAACGACTAAAAAAATTAATTATAGTTTAAAGTCAAAGATGAATATGAATTAAATTTTTAAAGCATACATGCAAGAATAGAACAAATAAGTTACCAATGATGGATTAATGTGAATTTCAATGGAAACAGAGCTTAAAAAATCTTCTGTTAAGAAATGTTTCGGAATTCATATCACTTTATCCATCCAGTATTATATAAAAGTTCCGAAACTTCTTGTAATAACGAGATAAAATATATAGTTATTTGTCTATCTATTATAATAAATCCCTCTTTTAATACATATTTCAAAATTTTGAATGTTGCACTTCTTGCAATTAATTAAAATTTATCAATCATCAAACTGACATCGCACAAAAATTTTGGAAAAGAGTAATTTTAAGATTAACTATGAACAATTAACGCACATGTAATAAAAATATCTGAATAAATAAGTAAATATGGCTTGCCTATTTATTCATTTATTTATTGTTTATTCACTCGTTTCTTTGTTTGTTGTTTATTTGTTCTTTGATTGAACGAAATAAAAAAATAAGTGATAATTTTCTGATAGCGACAATTAATGGCAATACGATAATTCCCATCGTCGTTAAAACGGACGATAAAATTGCAATTTTACTAGCCCTACGGTTGGGTCTGGGAACTGATCATTTGGACCGATATTATTCGTATTCCCGTTCAACACACATTTTGATTAGAAAATCGAAGATAACAATGATAATGGAGGAGAGAGAAGCTGAGATGAACGGAAAAATGGGGGAGGGGGAGTTGCGTGCCAATTATTTATTTCAGTTTCAATTCGTGATGAAAACGGGAAAAGAAATTTAATAGGAATCTATAATTGCAATAGCAAAATGTTGGATGCAATAAAATGAAGTTTTGAGTTAAAAAAAATTATGGGAATGTACTGATATCTCATAATTTTAAATTCATCGGGATGAATTTCGGAAAAAAATGAATCATACAGTACTATTTCAAACATACATACTATGATGCATTCACAAACACACACACACACACACACCACACAGACTTCATAATAAATTAATTACTGTAAGTCAATTAAACTAATTTTGTTAATGCAATAAAATAATTCAGTGGAAAATTTAACACAATTATTAAATAAGATCACTTTAATGTGTAGTATATCAGAAATCAATAACGAATAGCAAAGAAAAAATTCCTATTAAATCAATAAAAAAAAATCGGAATTAATTTTTTCAAGTATTACACGTTGTAATTTTCAAATGATAAACTTTACACTCCTTTCTTTTGTTTCAAAATTGGAATTCATTAGAGAATGGAAGTCGAATTTTCACTTAAATTTCATAACCACAATAATTTATACCGAGATTAGCGGGGAAAATAGTGAGAGGAGGAGGTTCGGGTCGCTGCTTACGAGAAGTTACTCAGCAGCACGCCTGTCTTCGGGTCGATGAAGAAAGGTTTGGACGGGACTGCTCCGATGATCGTTCATTAGAGTGGGAGAGGTTGGTGCAACGGCAGTGTGGTCGCAGTGGTAGACAGCACTACCACAGGTCACATATCATTTGTTGTAGGAAAAGAGGGGATGAACAAATTTGTATGCAAAAGATTTTGCAGAGGGAAAAGGGACCAACTTTAGCATATTAACAGACGAGAATAAAAAAGTGAATAAGCATACTGTTGAAATATGCAACCATTGATTAGCTAATATTAGCAAAATAATGATATTAAGAAAATTTTGAAATTGGAGAATTTCATTTTTCAGAGATCGATCAAATATCATTGAAATTTATGTATGACTAATGGAAAGAAATATTGCATTGTCAAATGCAATATAATCAAAAATATTAATACTAAATTAGTTGTCATATTAATTTGTAGAAAATTAATCACTAGCTTATTTCTTCTTATTAGATTGATCATCACTGTTACATATGCCTTACTTTGGATGAAAAAATTCTCGATGAGCGTAATCCGATATTCAACTACCTCTCATTGTGTTTTCAGTACCATGTAACAACAAAAAATACTGTACTACTGCATTTAAAAACCAAATAAAATAACTGCAGCAAATAAACACATATACACAAAAAACAAAAATCAATGTTATCTGACACGAAGAAAAGCTACCCAAATATTATTTTAAAAGCAATTTCTTAAAAACAAATTCCTTTAAAAAAACAGTGTGTACTTTATAAATAAAGACAACTAACTTGATCATTGACAACGAAATAAACCAGTAATAGCCTGAATAAACAGACATACACACAGGCGATGAATCCGCTGTTGTAATATGGCTTGTTTATTTTTTTTAAAGCAACAAAGCCCGGTTCTGATTAGTGAGAAATGTTCAGGAGCAAGTTCGTAACTCTTCACTCATCACGGCATGGAAATATCTTACAATAATCAAAAAATATATACATCTGATCTTTAAATCACAAACACAAATGACGAAACGAGCCAACGGCCAACACTATCAAACTCTCTCACTGAGGCTAACATACAGACAGACGTACTGATACCATCATCCGAGTAAGTGATTAATTTATATTACGGCAAACTACAAGAAATGTCCAATTCACTTTTTTCAAATATTTCCCACGATTGAAAATAGTATTTAAGTACATCCCTAAATGAATTATTATAAGACAACAAGAAAGAATTATCATCTTTATTATAACATCACGAACAATAAAGCAAGGAAGACAGTTGTAATGAATATAAAGAAATTTAATTTAATCAACAGATCCTAGCCATACACTATTTTTTGGAAATGCATCAAAAACAATCATTAAAAACTTCAAAAATAAAAGGTGAATGGTAGAAAGAACAAATCACCGGATGGATATCACAAAAAATATTTATAACTACACAGACTCCTACATGATATTAATAAGCTATTATTATGAAGGGAGATGGGTTAATACCATCTGTTGAATGAAATAAACTCTGAGATTTAAATTTAAAATTAATAAAAAAAATACAGCAAAAACCAGGCATACAAAGACAACTCCTCAACACAATTACGATGACACAGATGGTAACAAAGTTGCCGAAATGATGTAACCAGTATGTGTTGGTTGAGTTGCCGGAAATGGAAGTAGTGCTGGTGTACAGCTCGTATTGTTATTCTGCTCCGCTACCCATTGCATTTCGGATCTCACGTTCACTGCATCTCCTTCCAATTTAGGCCTTTTTGATACTACAGTTCCGCTTCCATTATCTTGCGAATGTCTCTTCTTATTGAAAGGAATGTTTCGTGTATTGAACGATTTCAACGTGTCCATATTTATGTCACACACCTAAAAATTAAGCTGTAGAAAAATTATATATATAAAAAAGGAAAAAAAAACGCATCTGTTGGAAACATCATTGTCTGACGCATCCCTAACTTTGGCATTTCATAACAGATAACGGAGAAAGCAGCATGGGTAGGATACTACCAATATACGGTAAAACTTATGTCATAATCCTTTCAGTTCATAAAAATTTGAATCAATTTTAGTATAATATGGCACGCTATCCCAATTTCTTCTTTGTTTTCCAACGTTCTTGTTTATTCTCATTAAACACCTTTAATACTTTATTTGCTCTAAGTAATGTCAATGGATAATAAAAAGCGAGATTAGGAGGTCATGGCATAGAGGTAAAACAATGTCGACAAGATTTCAACCCTTTCCCTAAAACTGACATCATCGAAGTGATGCAGATATTATTCTGAAAAGCTTCGGTCATATAGTCTAGTTCGATCCAGAAATAAAGCAACTATATGGGAGACAAGTGTCTTCCCATGAATATTAAGATCTAAACAATACAGAATTATGCTCGAGATAACCTGAAGGCCTTCATTAAGAAAGGATCAGAGTGAAATAAGAATCATCAAGTATGTTCAGGTTCGGGAAAATAGTGCAAACAAGTGCTCTAAATTGCTGTCCTTATTGTTTCTACCTAAGTCAGTCAATGATCACCTAATCCTAATTATTAAAATATATGTTCTAGAAATCTTAAATAAATCTAAAAAAACTGCACATCACTTGGCAAACCCAGTTCGAATATAACTCTTTTACTTGTCCTATCTCCATTTTTTCCAATAATAACAAATATGCTTCCATATTCAAAGAATAAAGGTTAAAAAAATAAAATGATCACTTTTAGCTTTCTTGGCACTAACTCCACCGTACTGATTTGCACAAAGCCTTCACACTGAAGAGCATTACATGTTCTCTGTATCTGTAACACAATTCTATTGAGTGCTGAATACTCCTTTATTTTGCTTAACAAAAAAATTTTTTTTCTATTCTCAAAAGAAAGTTTCTAGCGAGGTTATTTTCCATAAAAAGAATAAAACACCTGTTCAATACAGGGAGAGAAGCTGACCACACGTCCACCATGTATTTTGCTCAGCGCACGCTTTACATGTTTGATTGCAACCCATGGAGCGGGAAGATCAAGAAAGACTGCATCGCATACATTCTCCACAGAAAATCCATCCTCGATAATATTTTGATGCACACATGTAGTAATTTCCCCTAATCCATGCTTCTGTAAATTTCTTAACGAAATCGGAAATCAAATAAACAAAAAAAGATGAAATTACCTAGTTTGCAAAATGTTTTCGCTTTGAGAATCTAATAATTTTGAGGGAAAAAATGACCTAATATGCAATAATAATGCTAACCACCATCTCAAGTTCGACCTGCTTGACCCTTGGTTCTTCGATATCATGCGTATACAAGTGTCCTGTGGGCGCAATAGCCATTGCTAATGCATGCGAAAGCGAGCCACTTCCCGTACCACATTCACAAACTATCTATAATTTTTGATACTGACCAATATGAAAATTACTCAAAAAAAGGAAATATATAGATTACGAAAACTAACCGATCCTGGTCTAACATCTAATAGCATCAAAATTAGTGCGCAATCAGGTGTATAGATAATTTGTGTCCGACGAAGCAAAGCACGCGTCCACATTTCTGCATTGGGACGTAATACATAAACATAACCCGCTGTAGCACTAATACGAGATCCATAACTAGAAAAAAACCATGAAAACAGCCATTTTCTCCAAAAACTTCAAGTCGTGAAAATCATTCACCATTCTCTCGACCAAATGCCAGTATTAATGAAAGCACACTTAAATTTAAATAATATCTTGATATCACGATATTAAAAAATCATCAACTTCTAAACATTCTTCAAGCCATTTTAAAATAATTAATTGATAAATAAAACCCACAATTTAACTTACCGTTTCCCTATAAGATATTCATGTTTCAAAGCACCGTATCTCATTGTGAGAATGAGACCACGCTTCACTTCCACTGCATAAGACGTCCCGTAATTGACATAAATAATCACAGTATCACCTTCTTCAATTATTTCTTTATCGCTTAAGAAACCGGAACCCGTATTGTTTATAACGGCAAGCTGAAGAAAGCAAAGATTGCAAGGATATCGCAAGCAGCGAATGATAATAGATTTTCCAGAAGCTTGTCAAAAAAAAATTGATACAAACTCGAAAAACTATTTTTAATTATTTTAAGAACGCTTATTCTACTTAATGTCATTTCCTGAACATCATTTTCAAAAAAGTTGAACTTACTTTTCTGTCCTCTGCTTTTTTCAATGTGCAATCAGTTCCATTCATCATTTTTCTGCAATGAAATGAACGAAGTTTACTCCCAATTAGCAACACTTTACTCTCTAGCTGCGTGGAATTATGAGGTCATTTTTTGCGAGACTTTCTTTCAAATACGCTAAAACTGAACTTACAGAGCCGTTTTACTGTAGAAATTTTACGCCTTCTGTTCCGGTTCCACTGTTTAATAATTGAGCACGACGTTGTTCAACAAGAATTGCCAACGACTTCAACAATACGTCTTTATCCAGACCGTAAAAAGCTACAATTTGAAATGAATATTACGCAGAAATCTCTTCGTCAAGAAAATGAATTCATCTAGAGCTTTGAACAACTAATTATTGAACTTGTCAAATTAACCGATTGATTTCACTGTTAAAAATCACTTGCATGAAATCGAAATTCCGTTTTTTAATGTTCAAACTATTTACCTTATTCAATAAAAAGTTCAAATTCAATTTTTGCTTCTCGAAATCACAAATATGATGATTAAAAATTCCCACTTGTTTACACATAACCTTGAAGCAAACATCTTGTATCTCCGACTATTAGTATTCTAATTTTTAATCTTTTTCTGTGCGTGCTATGTCTGTGCAGTGCTATGAAAATTTATGCTTGGGATATAAAATTAAAAAGATAAGCGTCCAACTGACATTCTTGTATAACGTCGTCCCCTTGTGTTATTTCGTACAAAGTACAGGGAGTGTTGAGTAAACTGTTACTTACTGCCCACTCGTATATCAATATAGCCCACTCCTCCGGACGCCTCCAGTAAATATGACACCGATTTTTGCTTTTATCTAACCAATCAATATGTCCTGCAAATCAGATTTTTTATCCAACCATTAATCTCACCAACTATAAATTCATAAAGTTATGATAAGCATGACTTAAAATAAAGGAATTTGAAACTAATCTCATTCAACGTTATTCTGAGTAAAAAAGTTACGCTCTAGGCAAAAAAAGCGAAAAAACGGGTTAGCATTACTTTTGCTTGATTACTTTGAAAACTTTTGAATAAAACTCTACTTTCAAAAGATGACAAACAAAGAGCTTATAAGCAAACATCGCCACTTACTTTTATGCTCGAGATAATCGAACACTACTCGTACACTGTCTAGCGGCAATTTCCGGTTGAGGGCGCTATTAACGAATAATTCTGAATTTGATATATCTGCCAAATCCACTGTATAAATTTTATGAAATTGGCAATAGTCAACGACCAATCGACTCCAAGCTTCCAACTGCTTTTCACGGGTTATTAAGGTAGTTTGTAAGCTGGAATAAAAGGAATATAACAGAAGTAAGAGAGTTTGCCTCAAATTTAGCTACTGAAATATAATTGTTTACTGACAAAGATATAACCATTAAAAAGTAGGTTTAACTGGAGAAGGAATCAAGCAACCAAGGTAAGCAATGAATTTCAGATATCACAGGTACATCTAAAATTCGCCGTTTAATAATGACAGAACCATGAGATTTGCAACCTATGCTAATGACCGTGACCTAAGAGTATATAATGATTTGAGGGATTTCTGAGTAGTTCAAAAATTTTTATAATCATAAAGTACACGTTAACTCATGCTTAAAAATTCCTCTCTAAAGCTATTTTTAGAAATAAATCGTAGAAACAAACCTTTTCTTAATTTTTACTTTTAATAATGTTTTTTCTTTGAATAACTTACGTGAAAAATGGTGGAAATTCATATTGCCATGGCCATTTAAATGACATTTTATCTTTTCAATGCCATCGAATTTCACTGTACGATGCTACCATAACAAGCGAATTCCATACTGAAATATATTCATCAATATTCAATCAAATCTGCAGGCATATGTGACTAAGTATGTGTATGTGGCCTAGCGTAGACACGTTGGAAAGGGTGCATTTCTACTCCATATCAACAGACGAATCAAAAAAAAAACAAAGAGCAAAAATGATTCAAAACAGTTAAGTTCTAGAAGTCTTGGATGATTAATAAGAATATGACAGAACGAACTTTCTTGCTATCAACGTTTTAGCACACTGGATAAAAAGCACACTTCCGGACACACAAAGGAGCAGTGTTCAATGAATATCCGAGAAAAATCAAGAACTGAAACAATGGGAATACACTAAGCAGCACAATCTACCAACATTTGCACACCCCGATTCATCAATCGAGGATAACAGTCCAACCGGACAAAAAAACTTCCGGGAAATCTCAGTCCAAAATGTCTAATTAATGTCGTAAAAAAGATATGTGCAATCTCTGCGATATTTATTATTATAAACAAGCCCTAATCAAACGAGAAGCGAACAATGCCAAAAGGCCGATAATTTCGTAAATCGAAATTCCTTCCTGCATTGCAGAAATAGCGTTGCAGCAGTCACTTTCACCGAGTTCTGCAGCCGTCTTGTCGCGATGGCGTATTCGGGAAGGCATTGTCATGTGATTCGAGATGTGAGGGCGGGACTGTGCGGTCAGAGGATGCGGGGGTGAAAGATGGCTGATAGATAATAATATTATGTATAACGTGAAATATTAATTGTAAAATTTTGCAATTCCCTTATGATACTCTTGCAGCGTGCACTTTGACTTACTGCCAAAAGTTTGCTGTTTAAAAAAAATTGAGGAAAAAATATCGATAAAATAAGAATGGAAGGGAGTAGGAATGAGTGAGAGTAAAAATAAGAGGAAATAAGAAAAAAGGAGAAAAAGAAAGAGTCAAACTAAGAATATGTAAGAAAATAGGAAAAGAAAAAGTTATGCTAAGAAAGAGTGCAGTTGGCATAAGTTAATTGTAATATTTCTAGATAAAATGATAATCCTTATCATTCCACTTTATTATCAATGACAATGAAAGACATCAGTGTCCTCAGACTTATTTTCCGGAGCTTGTGCTTCTTTTATTGGATGATAATACATCCATCATTTGATAGCATCGAATGCTATGAAATGATATGATGCATGATCACCAATAGAACAGGAAGCATATCCGAGTTTTACACTTTTATTCTCAGGACATAATGTTACACTGCTTATATACTTCTCAACATGTTTCATTCTGGTTTGTTAGACTCTCACGTTTCGTCCGAATGCTCCGGTAGTTTTCGGATTCCCGATTCTTTCCCATTCAAGTAACTGATTTTTATATTCTACAAATTCCATAAATGACTATTTTAGGTTATAAGTAAAAGTAACGGCGTGAAGTGAATAGGTATGTAAAGGGTAGGAATCATCTAAAGCATGTCATTATCACGAGGCCTACACGCTGAATTATGCAGTTATGTCCAAGGTATCATTTGTTCATGTTTAATTAAAAGAAGGAAATAATTAAATTATATATTTTAATCCATTTAATTTCGAAATGTTGAAATTTTGTAGTTAGAAAAAATTATTCAGAACTGTTTCATATTTTACCGTCTGTAACTTTGTACTGAATGTTCTTTCACAACACTTCGAACATATAATTTTCCATATAAAAAGAAAATACTGGTTACTGATAGGAAAATTGGATAAATATATATTGAGTGATTATATTTTAGTTTTGTTGATGGTTATGGCATTTCTACCACTCCTCGCTGATAGAAATACCATAAACAGATAACCAGTCGAATCGTTTAAGTCATATTTCTTGTCATTACAGAGAAATGTAATTCCATATTCGGATCAAAGTTCTGGGATTGCCGATTGGCGTGTGGCGTGGAATACGCTACAAAAATAGACAAGTTTGAAAGCCGAATCTTTGCAATATCAAAATTTCGAGTTTTCATATTGCATGGGAAAACGCCATCTTTGTTGAAGATTGATCGAACTTTCCATATCTTATCAATACGTACGATTCAAATTGTCAACAATAATGAAGTAATTATTTAGCATCATTTTTTTGGTCAGTATTAATCAGCTGATCATTATTTAATGGAACTTTTGAGATAGCTTATCGAAAAATGTACCAAATATTCAGATATAGTATAACATGTTTCAGTTATCAGTGGGTGAATATCAGAATTAAATTGTTTTAGAATGTTAAAATTGTTATCGAAGTGCCATAAATTGGTCTTATGACTATCTGTTATGGAAGAGCAAATATAATAATTATTTATTTGAAACAAATGTTTATTAACTTGTTAATCATTACCAAAATAATCTTTTTTGATGATTAGCTTTATTTGAAATATTTGAAACAAATGTTTATTAACTTGTTTATCATTACCAAAATAATCTTTTCAGGTGTGCTTTGGTCTCGATGAAAGTTTTTTGGGCAAAAGGCGTATTTTCATTCGTTTGGAAAATGGTTCCAAAAATATTGCTCTTTCTGTACTTTCCGCTTTTAAGCATTATTTCCCGGATATTACCCAAAATCTAAGGTAGACAAAGTTAAGGATGTGTCAGAAGATTTATTAATTCACATTCCATAACGTATATTTTCTTAACTGAAAAATGAAATGAATTTGACTTTATTACCAATGACATCTCATATAGGATATGACAAAAGGATTCCTTATTACATCCATTTATCTTTCTTGTAAATATTTGTAAAACATGCAGGAATTTGTTGGAATTAAGCCCGACTAATTTATATGACGAATTTTGGTTTTTGCCTAGCAGCCGACCATACCTGCCCTGTCATAATTTTCGTAGATCTTACGCTGCCGTTTGTGATTATTATGATCAACCATTCCGTGATGAAGTTGTTTGGGTAAGGCTTTTCATTTTTTCATTCTGATTTATATTTCGGGATTAACAAAAATTAATATTTCTGAATATTTACTCCTTTTTTTCAGGATATAGAAAAAATATATGCGATGCATGGAATTCATACTTTAAGATTAGATGACTTCACTCATTTGCTTCCAAGGTGATTCCCATTTATTTATATTGTATTCCTAATCTCATACAGCATGAACTTGAACGAATCCATCCAAGTGATTTTTAAAGTAATCATTTTTAATGAACGAAAGTAAGGTTTTTGATAATTTTGCACAATCATTAGGTCTGATTTATCGATTAAGAATTATGAACATTAAGTACGATAATGTATAATTAATTGTTTTTGTAATAATTTTTTTTATTCTCTAAGGTTTTCCAACAAAAAGAAAAAATATGAAGAGACTTGGGTAAAACATCATTCTTTCAGAGATTTGCTGCCCATCGTAGCTGTATGTCAGTATTCCTGCTATTTTACGGGCTTATATATTGATGATGTCAAATTAGGTTCAGATCTTGTGGATATTATCTTATCAGTTGTTCGTAATTCGCGTTCTTTAAAGGTACTTATTCTCCGCAGCTGTGCTCTGCCAAAGTAAGTTTTCCTCTTTTCTAACATTATACATTCCTTAAATTAGATTCTAACTAAAAGAATGTCAGTTACTCTCTCCTCTCTTTTTCACTTCCAATTGTGTTTTACTGATAGAGTAAAAATTGAAGGATTGCTCTTAAACTGTATAAATATATGGCATAAATAAAAGCATATTATTCTTCTACTTTTAAGTATTTTAAAATAAGGCGAATTTATAAATCCTGGATATCATTGCCTTGAGTGAAGTACAAAATATCATATTTTGTCATTTTGCTAAGTATTTTAGAGATTTTATTGCTTCGTTTTCAAACGCCTTACAAAGTAGTACGTCTTCTTTGGAAGAGATAGATTTTTCCAAGAATGTTTTGGATGATAAGAAAGGTCTTGTTATTTATCTTTTTGTTTTTTCTTTTTTTAGATAAATTCTTTTAAAAAAAAGTTTTTATTGAAATTATGTAAAACAAATGCTATACATCACATCAGTGCTTATTCTTATAAAATTTATTCTAGGCTTTGTTGCCTTATCGTCTTTGCTGTCAAAACTGACGTCACTACAATCATTAACACTTTCCGAATGTGCATTGTCAGAAAAAAGTGTAAATCAAGTATGCTATGGAATTTTGCAAGGAATCAAAACAAACACAATTCCTGAATGCAAATTTCTAGCTACACTTGATTTTTCAGGGAATAATTTGAAAGATGTAAGCGACAGATGATGCATAAAGTAGTATGACGAATCAACTAGAAATTTTTTTAATTATAGTGATATTTAAATCCAACATGATAAGCACTACCATCTGATCAACCGGCTGAAAACTACGGATATATAGAAAGAATGCGGATCGTAAGATATAATACTTATAGAGTGTATTAGACAGCAAAATCTGTTAAATTTTTACTTAATATTTTATTTTCATTTTTAAGTATTAATATATGCAGGATGTCAGCGATTTACTCCAGTTGCTATCATTATGCATTAGTCTTCGAGTTTTAAATCTGTCTGGGACCGGTATTAACATCGATAAATTGTGGGCTTCACTCATTTATGGAGGTTTACAATTGGAAATACTGAAGTTCGTTAGTCTTTTTAATACTGTTGGCTGTTATTTTGCAACTGTTAATTAAATGAACCAGTAATTGTGCGCTTTTTCCATTGCTACTGTGATCATTTCAGTACCTTTATTAGCTAATGATGTCCTATCCATAAGTTGATGTACAATCTGCACTTCATTTTGATCAATATCAATGCAATTGTTGGCACTTTATAGATCTTTTGTTATTTTACGTAACTTAATTACAGATTAGCGGGTTGTCAAACGGGTCGTCGTAATAAAGAAAATGCTCAACAAATGAAAGAATATTTTTCTACTGCCGTAGCATTGAAACAGCTTGATTTTTCGAATACTATATTAAATGCGGAAATTTTAAAGGTTATAATTTTTGGATTGTCCTATCATATTCTGATTAGTGGTAATGGAGCAGAGTAGATTATGGACGTGGGAGAGTGGAATTTCTTTTTGGTATTGTTATTGTTTTTTTAAGATGGTTTCTCTGATACAAATTTATCATGTTATTCCAACTATATGATGAATTATTTTAGGCCTTGCTTCTTGGCCTTGCAAGTAATCAGCAGCTAAAACCATTCACTTTATGTTTGAATGGTGTCTGTGACAGGTGAGTATTTTAATGTCAAAATCAAAACTTTGATGTGTACTTGAAATTGAAGTCATACTAAAAACTCCATTTCCTCACTGGAGTCCTTTTCCCTTGATGAACAGTGATATTGTCTAGTCTCATTTTCAGAACATAAGGTTCGCAACATACTAGCTGTTATGTTATCATTTTTTCAAGTGATTTGTTCCCTGTTAGATGCCTGATTCATTGCCATAATTCCAATGAAAAGTTCGAATATATACCCGGAATGATTTTCGCGATGAGGGTAGATAATTGGGCCTATTCTTCATGATATCATTAGAAATTCGATCTAAGGATAATCAATTAAGAATAGAATCTCTACGAAATTGTTCTCTTATCAGTTTAAAAAACTGAACAAGGACAGTTTTTATAAAATTATTACAGGAGTTCAGTGACTGTACTGGAGACATGCCTCAGTGGAGTGGATGTTTGTACATTGTCACTAAAAGACAATAATTTGGATTCGGAATTATTACCCGTAATTTTGGCAACTTCACAAATGTGTCATCTCACCAAATTGGATTTGAGTGGTGCAAATTTTCCAAACTGGAAACGGAGCGCTAAAAATACCACAGTTGTATCCAACGTTCTCTTAGAAATTGTCAAACTTATTGGTGAGGATGACTCGGTAAATTTCAGGATAATTTCATATGGCTTCGCTAATTGTAAATTTTATTTTTCTGCTTTCTATCGAGAAACATCTGAAAGTTTCATTTTTCCGATGGCTTTATAAGGTAGCATAAGAGAATAAAATATTGACAATTTTAGTTGTCGATTTATTTTTTCATGCTCATTCAAAAAAAAAAAAAAATGATTTCTAGAATAACAAATGACGGCTTTACTAGTTGGACTACTAGTAAAGCCGTCATTTGTTATTATTAACATCAGATTTGATATTGGAGAATTATAGATGTTACGTAATGAGATGAACAGGTGAAATAGTTCAGAGTTATGGGAATAGAAAACGTTAGTAGCAGCAAAAAAACGTTAGCAGCGACAAAAAAGAGTTATAAAGGATGAATTGGTTATTTATGTCAATTGAGAAATTCAAACAACTTAACTATGATGAAAGAAAACTATAAAATGTGCACTGAAAAATTCAGTAAGTTAGTAAAAGAATGTTTAACCAAATCATTATGTGAAAATTAAAGTCATTTTAGAGATTAAACGAATTGTCGATCGCAGATTGTCGTTTGGGATCGAATTTAAGCGTTCTGTTAAATACACTTGGTGTTGCGTCTTCCTTACATTACCTTGACATAACTGGTGATTTTCAGAAAATTTTGTTTTGATACGACTATTTTTTTGATTTTCTTTTTACTTTAAAAACAATATCAAATCATTATCTCCTCTTCAGGTAATGAAATGGGCAATTTTGGCGCTCGTCTTCTAGCAAAGGCATTACAAATCAATACTTCCTTACAAACGGTTCTTATTGATAGGAATCAAATCACTAGTGATGGATATGTAGATATTGCACATTCTCTAATACTGTAAGTTTTAAGATGAAGTTTGATCAGGAATATTAGATTCGATTATTTGTGTCATCGGTTGTGTCATCATTAGATGAATCAGTTGTGTCATCGTTAGATGAAAGGTAGTTGTTTGAGTGAGATGTTTTCACAGAGTTTTCAGAGAGAATTGTAGTATGATCTGTATGTTTTTGCAAGTTCTTGTTGGTGACTGCGATAAATCACGCTGCAAAAAAATAATTTCAAAATATCTTGGGAACAGACTTTTTACATCATTTGATTCACTTTATTTCATGTTACTCTTTTTAATTTTATTTTCAGCAACTCAACACTCATTTCTCTTCCTTTTCCTGTGATTGATGTAGCGGAATCGCTAAATCGAGGAGATCGTGCAAAAACGCTGGCAGCACTCACTGAGGTATATTTCATTACGGGCTAAAATTGTTCTCATAATAATTAATATTATATCAAATGTACAGGATTAGAGTTCTCATAAAATTTTCTAGGAGCAAGTGTGAATGTTTCAGATTGAAGCATGCGTGAAGAAAAATCGCGCAGGACGTAGCCACTCTGAAAAGCAGTACATGTGTTCGGTGATTGCTTCAAAACAGGTATAACTATGAAATCATATGATTTGGTTTTCTTTTGTCTGTCGGTCTTATGTTTCAAATCAATCCATTTCTTATTATTTGTAATTTTCAGGAAATTGAATCATGCGATAGTGGAAATTCGAAACTCGGTTTCGAAGAACTGAAACGGTCGCTGGATGGATTAGACTTATCCGAAGAGTTGGATATAGAATTAGAAAAAGTAGCTTATGACATGGTCTCTCGTTTAGATGACTTTCTATTAATCAATGTTAAGGTTTGTAGTTTACTTGAATTTTTGTCATTAGTATGCGTCGTACTTTTACTAGTTCCTGAAAGATGATTTCTCTAGCACATGATTCGTTCTTGCAGCAAACTTTACATCCGGTTATGAAAGCAGCTGAAAAGGAAGGCTCAAGTAAGCGCACTTTAGTCATAAAACAGAATTCGCTTGCTCGTGAAGCTTTAAGGAACAATATCGTTAGCTATTTGTGGTAAGCTTGCATTATATTATTACTTGCTTGAATAGACTTTAAAATCATTTCAAATTAACATTTTTTATCGAGGCAAAATCATTAGCTCATGATTTGTAAGTCTTGAAGATATCCATGGTAGCTCCGAATATGCGGAAAATGGTGTGAAACCAATCATTGTCGTCTTAAGCGGGGAGTAACCTGTAAAATCGTCATCATGATGAAACAGACCTATCATAAATACATGTGAAGTATAGTTGCATTTCATTCGCCTAAAGAAGTAGAAATAATCGATAAGCTTTTTCCAGTAAAGCAAAATGGAAATTGATCAGTGAAACTGTACAGAGGATTGTAAATGATTACCATGTACAACGTAACAGTATGGAAAAAGATGATATAGGATTACAGAACGAAAGTGACAGTTCACCGAGTATCAGCGCATCTAATTCTACAAAATTAATCGCTGTGAGGTAACATATGATCTCTGTTTATTCACCTAGACCAACGTAGATTTTTCTTATTAAAATTTTCCATATTTAAGCTTTTTATGCTGAATTACATACTGCTTGTGGGATTTATCTCGCAGTTCATTTTTTGTCTTAGATCACATCGTCCAAAATCGGTGATTACGGAATTATCCATTGATGAAGTGGGAGAGAAGGTTAATTTGGATGCTCCTCCCATGCCTTCCGCTTTGAATCACCCATCAAAATGCCGCCCAAGGCCGATAAGAAATTTCAAAAGAATCAAGGTTGGTGGCTGTTAAGGATGATTAATATTTACTGAGCTAAATCTGTACAGATTTAGCGGAATTCATCATTTAAGTCTAACTGAACTTAGATTTCGATTTTCAGCCTCAATTACTCTTGGAGGATGCTCACCAAAATCACAGTGGAAACGAAAATAATGACAATTCCGCAGTGTACGATATTGCTGCTAATGAATCGGTTACTTGTTCACCTGGCGGATCAGAGGTTGATGCTCATTCCAGCAATTTGTCGATCAATGATGAATATCGTTCGGGTTCACCAGCTGTCACGCGTAGTTGTGCCATGCTATCTCCTTCACAAGAAAACTTCACGGGTGTAGGATCTGGAGCAGTCCAACCATCAACTCCACCTTTACCGCTATCAGCCAATACTTCAGCAATAGCTGCACCACCCATTGTACCAAGACGAAACAAAGCCAGCGTATCTGTGATGCCTCCGACTTTGCCACCTAAGCCTGATCAGATTGTTGCAGTTCGTCCGGTAAGTTGTACCGTCGATGATGACAGCAGATCAGGTCGTAAGTCGGTCGCTGATATGGCACGACTGTTTTCATCTACTGATGCTCCGTTTAGTCGTCGTTCATGAATCATTCATTTACTAATTCTATGTTATTAGCCATTTCCTTTTTCAAATTATGACTGTAATGCCTTTTCTGTTATTGTACGTTAAGTTATGTTAAACTTACAGCTGTTTGACATTGCATATTTTAAATTTTGATCATGTAAATATTCCAAATCGGTTATTTAGGTTTGAATACTATGAATAATTGTGGAAATGACATAATGAGAACAAAGTGCTGTCGCAAACACCATTCTTTTTAATGAATTCTTCTATATAAGTAAGTGGTTGTATTTGACAATATTCGTAGCACGAGGTAAATTTTTTCGTTTTTTAATCTCTTTATACTCATGAAAAAATTTATTGTTTACTGTTTTTTTGAATATATCCCTCTTGCATGATTCTTTATTATATCCTAGTCAAAATAGGATTGGGCGGAACCGAATACATTGCGTAGGAGTATTAATTTATATAACCTATTAGGTTAGTAAATCAGTCTTATCCATGTAGGTTTGCTCAATCAGCTCTTGATCCATGTCGGTTCAGTGAATCTGTTCGATTCGTGTACCTCAGTTAGCTTCAGTCTGATTAGTGATATAATATAATAAATAGATCTGGAAAATTTAAAACTTATTTTATGCAGCGAAAGATGCGACCAGAATTGGAGGCGCTCTAATAAGAGACCAGAAAACGAAGTAATTCTAGTGTTATTTTCATTACAACGAAAATACCAACAAGAGAATTTGCGATGCAAAAGAAGAGAGGGAAAATAGAGAATGCAGAATTGTTTTTACTGTTACATCATTCGTTAAGTGATTTAGAAAAAGTGTAGAGAGAAGTTGATTGTTGTATAAGAAAGTAAAGGGAAAGGATTCCAAAGGAAAGCGGGAGTTAATTCGATTAGGAAATCGAAAAGCATTTTTCAATGATGTGTTTCCTGTGTGTATTATCACCATCATCATTGTTTGCAATTTATTTTTCCCTAGTATTGTTGATGATGTATACATTTTGGGCGCGAGAGCTTTGATTTAGTTCGACTTAATTGTTTGTTATTCTTAATTAATTCATATTCCCTACTTTTAGAATTCCCATTTTTTTTCTAATCATTAATATAGATTATGTGGATAAGTATAGATGACTTTCAAATAATTGACACAACTTTGTTTCAAAAAAATTTTTTCGAGTGATGAGCCAGTTTGTCACCTAGCATATTTTTTTATTTTATTGAAGTTTTGCAGAGTAAGGAAATTCCACTAATTGAATCTCATTTCAAATGCTATTATGGAACGAGTGGAATAATAATACAAAGGTTCATCAGCATGAAATTGGTAAAAGTAGGAGATAGAATTGGTAGTCAAAAGAATCATTTTTTTAATGTTAAAGTAAATTGAATTCCTTTGCTGATTTGCATTATCACTTTTTCTCTTTAATATTACTATTATTATTACTTTATTATATTGCATATTTTATGCTTGTCTTGACTGAATTCCAGCTTACTACATTGTAAGAACTTTTAAATATTTGAGTTATTAAGGTGTTGCGATGCCCAAAAAAATACTAAATGTATTACTAAGGATAGATTTCTATCTACAACTGTTACGAGTTAGGCTGCATCTTAATTTTTATTCTACAAGAGAAAAAGATTTAATTTTCATGATTCTTCACTCAAAGTATTTTTTTACATTTAATCAGCTATCAAGCTGATAAGTTCAGTCATCTATTCAAATAAATGCAGTTTATCGTTTTTCACAGAATGCTAATACCTGATGAAATTTGACTAATCAATGGAAGACATATTGCCCTAAATGTTTTGCGAATTATCATATTTCGCTGTTTACGTTATATGGATTTAGAAGAATTTGTATGGATTTTTGGATTTGATATTATGAGTTTTGGATATTAATTAATGAATGATGATGAAATAGTAGCTGTGAGATATTAATTCGAAATTGTGTCAGATTTCACATTGTTTTTGAAATAGTGCCTATTCGAATTGTTTTCATTTCTCTCTCATCTTTCACGCCTATTTTTATCAAGTGTTATTTTCATTTCTCTTTTATTATTTCACTTTAACTACAACCAATATTGTAATATTTTCCACATTATCAAATAAGCTCATCAGTGTTGATGTTTTTTTTTTTTTTTTTTGTTAATTTGGCTGTTATGATCATTCTGTTTTTTTTCATTCCTTTCCTTTCAGATTTATTGATATTTGACTGTACTACAAATTTCATTCTACAAGTCTTTACATATCGTAAAATATTTTCTGTAAATAAAATTGTTGGAATGACAATTTAGTTTAATGAAAGGTTAAATACTTGCAAAAATATTTTGACAAGAGATATCATAATAATACATATGCTTTTTCTTTTTTTGAAACGAAAAAAGTAAAGGAATAAATTAGAAAAGGAGATGATAAGCTGACTAGGAATTACATATATGCATAGGGCAGATGATTAGATCTCATCAGAAAAAATGATTTGTAGTTGCCATTAACTGGTTGTTTTGGTGAAAAAGAAGGAGAATAAAATTTGGATTAAAGGCGGAAAAAACAAAACAATTTCACTTTCAGTAGCAAATACAGCGTAAGACGATGCAGATGACATGAGGATTATTACATAATTTTCAACGTATAAAAAAATACTTTTTAGAAATCGAAGTTTGACATATCTTAGCAGACGTTTTTAAAATAAATTTCAAAACGAACAAAACGGTAATCAGTGTTTGTTGGATTCTCTGTGAAAGGGAAATGAATCGTGTGGTTTGGATTGGTACAAATCATTCATTGATTATTTTAGTTTTCTATTATCTTAAGTAGCTAAATGCGCTTTCATTGTGATCCACAAAATATGCACCTACGTAAGAAGTAAGAAAAATGGAGCAGTTAAAGAGGAAGTAGTAATACACAGACATTTTCCAATAGCTAAAACTTCTCTATAGAAGGCTAAGCTCGTAAAACGATATCATTATTGATAATACTGTTTTACCGTGCTATCTCTTTTTTCTTACATGTCTATTTAATTTAGATTATCATTTTTTCTCTTCTTTTTTTAAATTGAAATCATCACATTCATTGACTTTTTCTCTTTTTCTGATGTAATTTGAATCAAATGCATTTTTTTTGTCTTCCTATAACTCATGCAACAAAGATCATCTTGCTTTTCCTCTTTTTTCTCTCTCCCTCTTTCCACTCCTTTTTTCTAGCTTTTCAGAAAAAATATTCGTTCTATTAGTGAGAGATGATGAGAGGAGAGAGTGCAGAATGTTAGTATATAAGTTGCTTACTGCTACTGCAACTACAGCTATTTTTAGTTTTCAATGTTCACCCAAGCACAGGTTAGAGTGGCAGTCAGATCTATTCTTTCCTTTCCATTCATACCACTCTCTTTTTCATCTTCCCTTCTTCACTGCTAAAGATTTCCTCTTTTTTCGCTTTCTTTATCTTTTCATATAAGTTACAAATTTATTCATATTTTTAGATCCGATTACACTCATTTAATTTGGTTTTTCAGGTATTCATTAACAATTACATTGAATTATGTAGGGCTTGTTGGTTAAGTAGTGTATTAATAATAGGACATCGGAACGAGAAATGGTACTGATTAATATGGTTGATTAGTGATCTGGAAGAAGAACTATTTGCGTGCACTGTATTTAATTTGATTTGTTTGAAATTTAAATTAGTTCGCTTTGTGCACGTTAGTTCGGTCGAAATCATTTTTTCATCTTTGAATTCACATGATTGATTTTGTTTATTCTAGACTGCTCGATTCTATTGATTCGTCTAATTTTTACATCTAAGGCAAAGCAAAAAGTTATTCCCTACCGGAAATATCAAACCCACTGCTTAATTCGGTAGGGGCTATTACTCATATTAGCAATAGAGGAGTGCGAAGTCGTTGCTAACTCTTTCGGTCCAGATACGCTGCAGGGTTCGAGCGTGTGTGGACTTTGATTTTGGCTTGGAAGCCCGAAAAAACCTTGAAGATTTCGTCAGAAGAGCACACAGACGGTTCATCACCGCCTTCAATTCGAATTTCGCAATCGGTTGGTTCATTTCTTTTTTATTTCCAAATCGTAAAGCTCTTGTATTGTTAAATATTGAACGTTACTAATTAGTGAATAAATTCTATTTGTTTTACTTTTCAGGTTATACGAGAGCTTTGTGTTGCTCTGCTATTCTTGGATCCAATCCCGCGACCAGGCAGTACTCAAATTAAGCTTGACGTAAACGCAGAGCCTCCGTGGGATCCTGATCCAGTTTGCTAACATTCGTAAGTGCAACAATTCATCATATTAGTTTTATAAGTATTATAAAAGATTTACCTGAATAAAAATGGAATTTTAATTATCTTTCATGCAGATTTTGATAATGCAGCATTTTCAAAGCATCTCTTTCAGCATTTTTTGGATTTCGTCGAAGTGGTTGTGTCTTAATAAAACGCTTGAAAATTTCTTCACTTGATTACGCTTATCAATTAGTTCACCCCTCAGTTTCGGCTTCACTTCCACCGGAAAAACCGTGCCACTGGACCGAAGTCGTTAAACGTCGTACATTTTGCGTCCGCTTATATAGGCCACCTTAATTCGCCGAGCACGTAAATATTGTTTCGTAAATATTATTTTTTTTATTGCTTTGTTTTGTTTTCTGAGAATTTTTGAAATTAAGAATTTCCTAGACTTTTGATTTGTGTGATTTTCTAATATTGATGTAACCTTTTTCTTCTTTTTTAGACCTATTTTTTCTGACCATTGTCATGGCACCAGTACATTCATTCGATATCTGTAACAGTTACAATATCGATGAAGCCTATCACTCTACTAATGTAGTTAAGCAGTGCGATTCAAAAATCAGCTGCAGCGATGACTATTTTGATGCAATTCGAAAGTTGATAGCAACTAAAGTCGCTAAGGTATATTCATGAATTGATTGCTCTTATAAACGAATTTTAGTTATTTTTCACATTTATAATATCAACCTAATTGCAGAGTGACTATGACCCATTTTTCGTAATGAATGTGGAACTCATCGATGGCATTCTGAAAAACTGGTTCAAAAAAATGCGAGATATTAAACCTTACTATGCATTACGATGCAATTCAGATAATGTCTTGCTGAAACTACTTACTCGAAATACCGATATGGGTTTATGTTGCATCAATCGATATGAAGTTGAAATGGTTCATTTTTAAGTTAAGGTGTCATAATTGTAGGGTAAATAACAGCTTCGATATCAATGACGAGTTCATTCAAGTTTAACAGCAGTGGTATTTTACCAGCTTAAATGTAGTATTAATCAATGGTGTATAAATGAACGATCACATTATCCTAAAAGATAAAACTCTTCCATTACTGCAGGCTATGAAAATTGTCAACGTAGATCGAATCATCTATCGAAATCCATTGTGGACACGTGGCAATATTCGTCATGCTAAGGAATGTGGCATCCAAACAGTTATCATTGAAACGGAAGATGATTTAAAGCGTTTTGCAACGTATTATTGTGAAGCAAACATAATTTTACGTGTAACAATGGATCGAAAGGTGGTTAGTGATCCTCTTACGGAGGATAACTTGGATGTCGAGAAAGCTAGCAGTTTACTTCGTACTACAAAGGACTCATCAATGAGAATAAGAGGCATTAGGTATGAAAGTTAACTACGGTTTAATTAATTCTTTTTTTAGAGATCTTGTAGCTAAGTAACTTATCTTAGTCCCTATTTTGACCTACCTGTATTAGTAATCATTGTTGAAGCTTATTATACTTGTTTAATCAAAATTTGTTTTAGCCTTTCTGTACGCTCAGTCTGTTCAGCGCCAACAATATATTTATATGCAATTGGACAGTGTCGGCGGCTGTTTGATATTGGGCTGGAAGTAGGCCATAAAATGGATATTTTGGATGTAGGTGATGGGTTTCCAAGTATGTCTGCTACTGATGGCTTATCATTTGATCAGATTGCTGAGTCACTGCATGTTGCATTTGCACTTTTCTTCCCATCAAAGCTCTTCAAAAATATAAGAGTAATCGCTGAACCAAGCTCATATTTTGCGGCTTCTTCTTTTTCTTTAATTACACGTGTCATTGGCAAACGGCTAATTGATGGAAGTTTTCTCACAAATAATGGTATGTTTATGTAACAGTTATGTACCTCAGGTACCTCATATTTGGTTCTGTCGATTTTAGCTTGATAAAAAAGATTTAATTATGGTTCATTTTATATTTTCATAACTTATGATGTGTATTTTATTAGACTAAGTTTTTTCCTTTTTTTTGAAGAAGTGCATCATTGAAATTTTGCCAAGAAAAACAAGAAAGGTAAATAAATGAACAGTGGATTAGAATTGAAATTATAGTTCCAGATTTTGTCATTTGTAGAATCAGATGCTGGTACAGTCGGCTATGTTTATCAAATCAACGAAGGATTTTATGGAGCATTTGGCTGCAAACTTCTAACTCATCGTAATCCTGTTTGTTCGCCATTAATGATTTTCGGCGAAAAAATTAAGACATATGCAACAGTCATTGGTCCTGAAGTTTGTGATACAGATGTTGTTCTATCACTGACAAGACTTCCACCTCTACAGGTCATATAGCACTTTCATTTATGAATCTTGCTTAAATACTACATTAATAGAAAAAATATAGTATTTGTATGATGGTAGGAAGGATAGCTAAATATATTGCTAAACTCCCGACTTGCTTTTCTTTATTGATTGTTAGTATTCCATCATATTTGTAATATGAAATCTTAATTTTTGACATCAGAAAACCGGTTATATTAAAAGTATTTTTAGGTGGGTGATTGGCTCATTTGGCATGATATGGGAGCTTACACAATTGGTAATCATGACATGTCTGAACAAAATGATCCTCCTTTGGTTATTCAGTATTATTATGCAAGTGAAAAAACAAAGTAATTAAATTTCGATTTATGATTTTATTTGTGATTTCGGTAACATTGTCGATGTAGCCTACATGGTACAAGATGGGTCAAGATTGCCATTTTAGTTCTCTGTTTTGGTAGATGTCTTGGAGTACCATCAATCTCGGCGCTGTACGTAATGTTGTCATAATCGAAGTGCATGATTATCTCATTGCCCTTTACCTGATATTTACCGGATTTCAAGTTTTGGACAGACTAAAATACTATTTTCAATCAATGATTTTTAATTTTTTACCCTACCGTTAACGATGCGCATGCTTTAGTAACTCACGTATGACCAGTCAAAAAAATTTCAGAACTATTTTTCCGGATTCAAAAACTCTACGATTCGAAGATACACAAAGCGAGGAAGGAAATTCTTCAAGTAACATTGTATGCAATGCTTCGAAATCCGAGCTTATCACTCATACAGATGCTGTTGTTACCGTTGCAAAACAATTTAAGACATAATAGTTTGGTGTGTTCTGAGTTTAGAAATTTTCAGATGGCGTGAGCCGCTGAGGGGTGAACTTTTTATAAACTTTGTTATTGAAATATTCAAAGCATTTATGGGTATCATAAACTGTGAATTTATAGTCATTTACTTTACTGTTGAAAATTATGTTCATGCTATTAGTATGTGATTTTTCCCTATTTTTGTTCTTTTTAAATTTGTTATATATTAGTGATAAGAGTTTCTATTTGATGATCTGTATGTTCCGGTTATCTTTTCCTGTAAGCATATTTCTTAATCCTTATTTCGACAACGCTCACTTATACCTCATCTTCACAAATTGACGTTTTTTGAAATGATGTGAAGCGTTATTATTCGATTTAATGTCATTAAGAAGTTTTATAGAGAAATCGTACAAATAGCTTCCGCACTGTTATCTCTCGACTATTCTTTTATCAAATCTTCGCAGAGGGCCATTTTTTTCTTTGCTTTGCTAAAATTATTTTTTTATGTATAACTCAGACTTACTTGCTTGTTTATTGGAATTTTGAAATAAGCAACTTAATTTTGCCGTATTTTATTTTTCTTTTTTCAAGGTTTTGTTATGAAAGCAGTGAATAATAGCTGTACTCGATATAAGTTAACTTTGCAGGTTAATAATGAACAAGGATCAAATATGACAGTTATTTAATAATTTTCAAACATTACAGTGGGTAAAGTTTAAATGTCAACCACAAGCTTTAGTTGGTAATGGAGTAAGATATCGAATAAGGGGAAGCGAAGAACTATGAAAAATATGACAATAAAAAAAATAACTTCCCCCTATTTGTAAAACAAAAGTGTGGTAACATACATTTTCCTTGAAATGTTTTAAGGCAGCTGTAAAAGCACCTCGTTAGAACATAACAATCAGATAATATGCCGAAAATTTTCTGTAGAACATCTGCTAATTTTTTGTTTTACAACGATATCTTCAATTTTAAATGGTTTTTCTCAAACTAAATTTTAACGCTTGCAGAAAAAAAAGGTATAAGAGTTGGGAAATGAGAATTTTATATCATTATTTGCAACCTTTTGCAAGTAATGCAGCAGATATTTATCTTTTAGCACACAATAATTGGTAATAGTAATTGAAATCATAATTGATAAGTTACGAATACAACTCATTGGTATTGTAATATAAATTACATCGTGATTCTATTTTCGAAATACGTAAGAGGACAAATCAGGCTGATATTTGTAGTGGTAGCACTGCCAAACTATTCCAGGATAACAACATCCCTCTTTTGAATGTTCACACGTTATTGTTCCATCAAGGAAATATCCATCTTTCCTGTGTTTATTCTTTTGACAACTGAAAAATTAAAAGTTTCCATGATAGAAAGATATAAAGGATCCTTCGAGATCAATGAGCCAGATGCTTTTTTTATGTAATAGTTTTTTCGTTTTCCTTTTTTGAGGAAAGAAGAAAAATGTAATAAATACTGTCACAACAACAATCCTTTACGTGCAAGCATGATAAAGCTAAAAATTCACATCAAATTTTGATAAATTTCAAAAAAAAATTATTGGCTATAACGGAAAATCCAAACTTGGTTGAAGTAATTTTAAACAAATTTAAAAACGTTATGACACGAATGAATTAATTAGATGTCTCTTATAAAAAAATCATATTTGATTTAACATTAAATGCGAACAGGATATACTAATCAGTTACCAGCAACGTTCATGGAACAAGTTTCCGATGTAAACCGTTTAACAGATGATTTTCATTAGTTTGCCGGTTGGGTTATTTACTTAAGGAGAAAATTACTTGAAAGTTAGTTCAAAAACGATTTTTTTAAAATGAACATACGAATTCGATTGATGCACCAGGCGGTCTATTTCCTCGATTACATGCTTCTCGAAAATCATAGTCATCAAGGGGTATCGGATTTAAAACATCAACCATACCAGTATGACCTTCCAATGCAAGATCAAGAATTCGTGGAATGCAATCCGACAAGAAAGATAGGTAAAATGATGATTCCATACCAAAACACTAAAAAAGCAATGGAACATCAATGAATATTCTATTTCATAATATTTGAGAACTCTACTAATAATTTTAGCATCAAAAGAACTAACTATGAAAACCTGGGAACGAATTTCGAAATTTATACTTTTGTTTGCAACCAAAGTTAATCATCAAATCAAAAACGGACTGCAACAACGAACAAATTATGCCGATTGATCACTGCTTCGAAAAATGATTTATCCCGAACTTAATAAGACAATAATCAATCGCTTAAGTTTGACGAATGCTTCTTTTCAACATGACGAAAATAAGAAATTATTCATATTCTTTAAACTTGTCAATTTGTTAAACCATCTCTAAAAAAATCAAATAATACCGTTGTCTTATCGAATTCATCTTCTTTATCGATTACAATTCTTGCTCGACAGAATAGGATGGTATCGAAATGTTGCAATAAACGATCAGCAAATTTATCAATAGCCATAAGATAATTATAAAGTTCGAAACGTATATTAGGTAGCTAAAAATAATTAGTGGAAGCAAATTATTTGGCGAATCATTATTGCATTCATCATACTTATCATTTACTATTGCTGCATGATTCCATACCAAAACACTAAAAAAGCATGTATAATATAAAGGATAGAAGCATCGTATCCTCACTTTTTGTGAAGTGTAAAATATGAAAATTTTTGACTTCGGTGACATAGTCTATAATCGATAAATCTTTCTAGAAATCCTTATTTCTTTTTTTAATTTTATTATAGTTAGAGATGAAAAAAATGAAGAGCAAGAACCTTAAGCCAACTATTAGCTTTCAATTAATAAAATTAAAGATGATGGCAACATAACGACTAGTAATAAATTACTTGACATCCCAAACAAAAAAAATTCTCGCCAAAAATATTATAAGAAGTTAAATAAGTGAAATGAATTGAGCGTTTGTCACAAAATGATGCCAAAAACCAGGGAGAATAAAGCATCGCATATAGTTTGGTCTTAAGTAACGTTCGAATATCAATCATGTCCTCAGTAGCTACTGAAAATTCATTTTCTTAAAATTTGTCAGCTAAAAAAAATTTTTTCATTCTGGAGAAATGTTAACATCTTATGATGCTCAATTCCTCCATATTGCAATAAATAGCGAATCTGAGAGAAACACATAAGTTTTTAAACATATGATTATTCAGGATCACTTATGAGATACATAAATCGAGTAGATGATGATATGAAGTCCGGATCGTATTCAAACCTGTTAATTGACCAATATTTAGATATTTCACAAGAAAAGTAAACAAATAATCAAAGTTAACCTTCAGACATACTGGGAATGTTGATGTAAACAATATGACTTGGAGATACATCAATGATTTCGTTGATGTCAATATCGTTTGAGTCAAACGGTCGTTTGCTGAGGATAATGTTTTCCTTCTGCAGTGATTCTGGCAGATATCTTTTCTGAAATTATTTCTACAACAACAGTTACTTACTATTTATTATCAAGCGAAATCTTTTCGCATGTGTACTTGGAAATATGCAGTGCTACTTCCTTTTTATGACAATCTTTAAAATAAAAAAATAAACTGACTTTATTCTCGATTAGTCTACTAAGTCGTTTCAAGGCGAAATCAGTGCCATAGACAAGAATTTTATGTGTATTAGCTCCATCCATTCTATTCCAGTAACTCTCATTTTTAACCATTATTTCATGCATTCCTTAAATCCAGAAATGTGATGACAGAGAGAGTCAAAGAATTCAGAAGGTCATTCAAAAAATGGCGCAAAATTTAACCTTCTGATTGCGAGATTTTAGCTTTCCAAAGTAATTCAAGTTCGGCTTTCATCGATGGCATCGTCAGCATCGATACACTGATTTCATCACTTGAAATTTCACCTTTTTTAAACTGAAATAATTCTCAGTAAACAAATACAAGTAATATATAAATTTACACAAAGAATACGGTACAATTCGCTTAACTTGTAATTGTCATTACATGACTCATCCATCACTGGGAATGGAAAAAAATAAACCTTTGCAATAAGTTGGAAAAAGTGAGGAGAACAATCGCATTGACCTCCAATATTATAAACTTCACCAATATGACCCTTTTCCAAGGCAGCTCCGATTCCAAGTACAGCATCCTGAATGTGTAACAAACCAACAGTTTCGCTTTTTTCATTATCATCTATAAGAAATAAGCGCATAAAAATAACTAATGTCAGTTTTTGAAAACTTTTAATCACAAGAAGTGATGATATAGGAGGACTGATTGATAACAAAAACGAATGGATCAAAGAAAAGACAAAGGCAATGAGCCCCGCATTAAATTTATAAGAGTTTATGATAGTTGTACATGTGATGGTATGAGAGTTAGTAATGTAAATTATAAGAAATGACAAAGTGCTACATATTATTTAGTATCTCACCGTGTTGTAGATGCAATAATAAATTATCATCCATTACTCCACCGTAGATAACTGCTGATAATCGCACAGTAAGAGCAGGTATACGATAGCTAATAATATAAGAATGAAGCATCATTTCACAAGCATTAATCGCCGCTCCTTTAAATGAACATGGTTTTGTCGCTGTAGTTTCCAATTTTAATGTTTGCTTTCCATAAACCTAAATTTGATATTGGAATCAAACAAAGAATTTTGCTTAACTAAAAATACAAAAAATTTACATTTTCCACTCCATAACAAATTTATTTTTTTTTGATATCGTAAATTGAAGGTTAAGAGTCAGAAAATGTGACAGAAAAAAGTGATTCTGAATAGAAAAAATTTTCTTAGCAAAAGTGAACAAATAGGTTATATGTCTTCGCAACTGATCACGAATAAATGATGAGAAATAAAGATCAACTGATCAGATAAGAAGATAATATATGAATTAGATAATATTATGAAGAAAAAAAAGATATGTGAAACACTGCGGACAACTTTGCTGTTGCTTACTGCTTCTGAGCTGATAAGAATGAATTTTGTCAATTTTCCATAACACCGCAGAACTTCCAGAAATTGTGTCAGGCAAGATAACGTTTTGCGAAAACATCCTGGATAATCTTTTTTAGCAGCAGTAACACTGACGTCATGACTCCAAACGTTATACAATACTGTACTGATCTGCAGCGAAAAATAAATCAGTTATTCGGAATTAGATATTATCAACCAGAATTTTTTTGACAATTTTCTAAGATAAGTAATAAAATTAGTTGAAGTTGACAAAACTCCAAATTTTCGATCGATTCTTAGCAACTCGTCAAACTCAGAAAATATACTAATGATTGCGTAAAATTTCCAAAATACTGCACTGACTGTAGCCATAATCAGTGTTGATCTACACATATTTTTTATATTAGTCAAATATTGTGTTTATTCGAATAAAAAAATATACTATTAGTTAAGTTAATACAGCATTAATTGATCTAAAATATTTATTTCGATAATATTATCTTATCGTTCGGATAACAGATAATGAAGCGAAACAGTCGAGAACTTATTTATTTCTATTTATCTTGAATATACAAATAATGACGCAGTTAATAATTATTTCGTTAAATGATAAAACTATCACTTATTCAAGACGGATGTGAACAATAAATAGCAATCTAATAACTATGTCTCTGTAATACTGCAATAAAATTACTTTACCTTTCGTTTTTCCAATATTTTTGTCGCCAATTCACAATTACCAGAACTACCAATGATAACAGTGCATTGTTGGGGATAATTTTCAATTTTTTTCAAAATTTCATTTGTATAAGCCGTGTTAGATGATAAATCAAGAATTGTTAGCTTAACATTCGGATATTTCTCCAACAGATATTCAGCGATATGTAAGCCAATATAGCTAAGACCACCAACGATTAGATAATTTAATTCGTCAGTCATCAGATAATATCCCGAAAAAAGAATATAATTTTCCGGGATTTTTTCCAAAATTTAATGGAATATCGCACTTAGATGATATCGTATTGTATTTAAATGATGAACTTCAGCTATTCTCATTATTAATATTATTAATAATAATTGAAATCACACAACAAAGAATAAACAAAAAAATAAATATAACTTTAATTTAAAAATAACATATGTTTAATTCTATTCATTACTAAGATTTAACTAAAACCAGCGTTTAAAACAAAATTCAAAAAAAAAATCATCATAACCAATTTTGAACTAATTATTCAATTACAATAAACAAAACATCCTTTCTCATTTGAAATGATTATAGCATCGCCTCAGTAATTTGAGTTCCTTACTTATAGAAATTTCACATCGTATGAGGGACTGCAAAATATAATCTTCGAAAAAAAAAGTTTAAAAATATCAGAATGAGCAGATAAGCATTTATTTACAGAAATAATCAAAATGTTGAATTATAACTTTCATGATGGCTTATTTGCATTATTCTATTTTTCCTTGGACTTTTTCCTCCTCCTCTCTAAATTAACGTTATATTGTCACTGAAGTGGGAAATTCAACACTGCACCACTTAAGAACAAAACAAAAAAATTATAAAATGTCCGAATTAATAATTTGCATTCACGAGCTGCGTGATTCCGAGCCACCAGCTTCAATCGCCAATTCGCCAAAGGTTTGGCGTTGAAACGCGATTTCTGTCTTGTTGGATGCTCTTTTTCAGTTTTTCCCACATTGGTTGCTTTCGTTTAGCAAATTCGGAAGATTTTTGAAATTTAATTCAGAAATTTAAGTTATGTGCAGTTTTACGTTAAGGAAAAATTGTCTTATATCTATAAATTAAATGGAGTTAATTTAGGATTTAAGAATTTTGGGATTGGTATGGACTCGTTTAATAGAAAGTGCCAAGTTATAGTTAACAGTTATTTTTCTTAATTAATACCAAAATATGAGGAAAGCCAAATAGAATTTGTAGAGATCAAATTTTTTGAAAATTTTTTCAATTAAATTAGCGTGCATGTGGTATTGATATATGTAAGTTATTTAATGATATCTTTGAGACATTTTAGTGTTATCGGATAGAGGCATGAATAGAGCAGCTAGAAAAAAGCTACTTCAAATAAATTTCAGCTTGCAGTTTAATTGCTTTACTGGGTTTATGTCTTTTTTTTGCAAGTAAAATTATTACTTGATTTGTTCAGTGGTACTGTTCAGTAGTCAATTTTAGGAATGGCTGATTGGGCAGATGTTGCTGATCTCCTGGGTGAATTAAGTGATAGCGATGATAATGATGAAGAAAAAAAGCTGAATGTTGAAGAAACTTCTGGTAATGAAACATCAGTATCAGAGGCAAAAGTGGGTAGTTTCTGTATTTAATATTTTATCTATTTGCACTAGAGATAAATAAATGATATTTACCTCATATTTCTGTACTCGAAAGGTAAATATCATTATTTTGACATCATCTTCTTATATAAAATACTTAATAGTAATCTTTATTGACTGCCGTTTTGAGAGTTTTTGCTTTTTCTTGAGATTCTTTCTTAAAATTTTGAGAAAATAGTTATTAATACTGCGTGAGATTTATTCAATCTGTAATAATTATTAGACATCTCAATTACATTTTTATTTTATATTTACCTGTTCTATAGAGTAACTGGCTTTGATTACTCTTTTTATTACTATTAAAGTTTTAGGAGTCAGTGGGTTCGAAACGAAAACCTGACAATGATATTGGTACGGATGACGTACCGGTTAAAACCAGCAGAGGAGAACTATCCATTCACGCCATCGAATTATTGGATGACCCACTCTTTGGTTTAGTATGAATTATATCAATTGTTCTTAGGAAGAGAGAAGTGTTGAAGGATTTAGAAGAGTAGTTAATCGAATCTTGTTAAATCAAGAGTAAATAATAGAGCTATTATCAAAGGTGTTAGTGATATATGTATTTTAACGTTTTAGCTGGATCCTACAGACTTTACTGCAGTGGATACTGTCTCGAAGAAATCATCTTTAGTTTCTTCCTCTGCTGCAGGTTCATCGAATTCGAAGAGTGGACTAAGTGTTCACTTTGCAGAGAATGTCAAGAATAATGAGAAACCGTGCATCAGGGGACGAGCAGTATGCTTTTTCTTCATGATTTAATTTTGAAGTATCTAGTTGTTAGGTATATCATTAGAACTGCATTTAAACTGATTGCCTTTTTATCATTATTGGCAATATGTAAAAGTGATACCGAAGCGTGCTATCAGCACTTTAAGAAAATGACTCGGACCATCGTTATATCTTCACACTTTTTAGGTCCTGACAATGATACTGCGCACTATCTTGTTAATACGAATTACAGGAAGCAGGACCCAGCAGACAAGATTCTCCGGAAACGGAAAATTCCGATGAGGAACAAGGTGAAACTGCTTTGCAGCCGAAAAAATTAAGCAAACAAGATGAAATCTTGCGCCAAAAAATGCAGTAATCATTATTAATAGAAGTTTACTTATTGTATTTCCTCAAACTTCGGATCGCATAATGTGTGTGCCATTTTAACGAAGAAGTTGGAGCAAAATATTTTTGAAATGGAATAAAAGACAGTACCTTTATTCATACTCTCTATTTTTTCGATGTGTTGTAATAATTACCCTTTTCTTTCTACGATTTGTAGGATATTGGTTGCTAATTTTTCCGCTGAACAACTGGCCCGTTACGAATGCTTCCGACGCTCATCTTTCCCTAAAAGTGCAATTCGAAAAGTATTTTTTTTTACCAGAAGTTCATTGAATTTTTATACTTATGACATTTTCTTTTTATGATACAGATTTTTGATGATATTATTTTGCTAAGAAATTTCACTAGTTATATCAATGCAATTCGAAAATTTAGGTAAAGAAATGAATCAAATTCAGGATTTTCTAGATTTTCTTCAATTACGTTCATAATAAACCATAAAAGAAAAGGTTTGTTTAGCTTATTCAACAGGCAACGGGTGTCACACCAGGACATAATGTTATAATAGCCGTTGCAGGACTTGCCAAAGTATTTGCTGGAGAACTTGTAGAAGAAGGTTCTTTTCCTTCCACTTTTTTAATATTTGATTAATTGCTTGAAATTATTCGTGAGTTTTGCTAAAATAATTTAATTTGTAGTTGCTATCTATCTATATCTATGTTTATATCTGCCTATCTCTATCCATCCATCCATCCATCCATCTATCTATCCATCTATCTATCTATCCATCTATCTATC